CTGAATGTGGGGGGGCGCATTTTCTCGATGCTTGAGGTTCGAAGGGCAATGGTCGACTCCAAGCCGTTCTGACGGCGGAGCTACCGATCAGAGAGGCTTTGGCATGAATGTCGTCAACAGATATTCTGTCTAACAGTGGTTGTTTGGAAACTTCGATAGGCACCGGGTGGTGGATTGGTACAAGAACGGGTGCATCCACTCTTGCCTCATTATTATTCTGGGCACTGTTCCATATTATACATCTCACCGAGTGGACAACATATAAGCATTTAAACCAAGTCTTTAATATCACTACACATGTGAGATGTCAACGTACAAGCTCGTCAAGCCTTCTTACCTCTTTCGACTGCGACAGGGCCACACCAATTGAGGTTAGCAAGGTTTCATAATAGTCCCTACAGTCGCTCACACGTTGGAAAATCCAGAACAAGTACTCGTCTCGTGTTGAATAATGGGCACGCCACCGCCAGTTCTAGCCACTTTAAGAAATCCTCAATACCATAGGTCAGAGAGTGATATTATAATGATAGATGGAAACCAGTCCCAGAAATATATCCTTCTCAATTCATCTCCTAGTATTAACGACAATAATAGGTCCTTGGGCCAACGACGAGTGACCATTTTCACCGAGTGGCTCGCTATGCCACAACACAGACGCGTTTAACGACAGAAAAGGTTCCCAGCACTTTACACTCGTCTCTAAACTAATCCATCTATCCAGCCACCCAGCTCGATCAGAACAGCGAGAAGCAAACTGGTTCAAGAGCGTCGACGGCACGACCAAAATCCCAGTACGAGTTTTTAATGATTTTGGAGAAACGAGTACGCTCATACAAGGTCACTCGCCGTCAGGGTGTGTATCGGGTCGAGGAGACTGCAGCCGCGTCTGCCACTCGGATCTCGTCCGAATTCGACCACGGCAGCTCCACAAACAGCCCACTAAATCAAGTCCAGCGCTTCGCAATAAAGCCACAGGGTCTTGGGGAAGCTGCCGTATTCACCGGCGAGACGAGCACCGTCCTGTATACACCATCACAACGCTTATTACACGAGTTCGGGCCATCAAATTGAAAATGTGCAACTCCCTATAAACCAAGCAGTGGCGGGCCAAGTCTCTTTCCACCTTGCCCTCGTCCGCAACCGCACTTTTATGCTCTCTACAGCTTCTACTGGAGATCAGGATTCTGCTCTCGATAAGAAGCATGGTCGAAAATCTGGCATGCCATGGAACCAACTAAGTGCGTCCACTCGATGACTGCATCCCTTCCAAAACAAGTCCTGACTTGTATGTTACTCCAACAACCACCACCCGGCGCCGCCACCTCCAGGCATCCTGCTGTTGCTGCTCCTCGCTGAACCAGTCTCTGCAACGACGATTTACCCGTTCATTGCACAAGTAAGAAATGGTTTCTTGCAGGCCTTCGAGGATCGATACTCATCAGACACTCTCTCACGCCTCACAGCTTGTAGTCGATTTCAAAATCACGACGGGCGAAAAGTCGAATATTGGTTACTATGTTGGGCTAGTCGTACGTGATATTGCCCATCACGGCATTCCTCCTATTAACCATCGGCACAGGAATCGCTCTTCTTCTTGACTGAATCGTGCTTCATCCTCCAATGGGGACGCTTATCCGACCGGATTGGTAGAAAACCCGTCCTCATCACAGGACTACTCGGATTAACGATCTCAATGACCTGCTTTGGATTATCTCATTCATTTATTGGCATCATCATCAGTCGCGCACTCGCCGGAGCATTAAATGGTAATATTGGTGTCATCAAATCTGCCATCGGAGAGATTGTCGACACTCCTAATCTTCCTCGTGCACTCTCGTATATTCCGCTTACATGGTTTATTGGGTCAACATTGGCGTGAGTACCAATGGATGCAGTCAAGATCGTCATGCTGAGTAATTGGACCAGGCCATTCATGGGAGGCTTCTTGGCTCGTCCTGCAAAACAGTTTCCAAAGATCTTTACAGGTTCTTTCTGGGTTGACAACCCCTACTTTTTACCTTGCGCAGTGGCAGGTTTCTTTTGCTTTACTTGCGCAATGATAACACTCGCTTTCCTCAAAGAGGTCCGTTTTCTGCAACTCGTTTACACCCGAGACTAATCCTAGTTCTAGACGCACCCGACTATAGGACAACCGAAGCGAGATATGTACGAACGAGTCGAGACTGGAAGCGGCGTCAGCTTGCACTCGATAGCAAAAGAACAAGAAGAATCGCTTCTTCCTCAACCAGAACCCTCTTCTCACCCCGCAAAACCAAACGCGGCATCTCCTCCCCTCCGCGCTCTCCTCACCAGAAACGTCATCCTTACCGTAGTCAACTTTCACCTCCTCGCCCTCCTCGAAATCGCCGTGCTCTCCCTCATCCCCGTCTTCCTCGCCACCTGCCTGCACATGAAGCCAGACTCGATCGGGCTCGTCGTCGGTGGAATGGGATTGATGAACGGTATCGTCCAGCTCACCTGTTTCGTGCCGCTCCACCGCAAGATCGGCACCCGCAACGTGTTCACTCTCGGCCTCTGCTCCTTTATCTTTATCTGGTTGGCGTTCCCCCTCATTAATTATTTCTACGTCCAAGATGGAGAGGTCTTGGGCTTCAAGACCTACGCCTTGATCTTTTTCCAAATCTGCATGTGCCCTATCGAGGAAATGTCTTTTAGTACGTCGGCATTTCGTGAAGTTCATGAACGTAACTAACTAGTCAATAGATGTCATCTTCCTCTACGTCCAAGCCTCTGCTCCATCTCCATCGACACTTGGAGCTACGAATGGTATCGCGCAAACCGCTGCGTCCATGGCTCGCGCCGTAGGCCCCGCCAGTGCGACATCTCTCTTCGCCCTATCGATCCAAAATCCAAATCTGCTAGGGGGAGGACTGATCTACTGGATTCTCGTCCTAATTACCATCT